AGGCTGGATGAGTAAGAAGGATCCAGGCCAGAGTTGCCTCTTTTCATTCAGACGTGGACTCATTCCCCTAACTTCCTCTCAATCCCCTTTACCACCCAGAGATAAACCATCACTCACACCATCAGCCAGGCACCCACGCCCCCCCCCCCACACCAGCCCCAGGAGGCCCACATTCCGCCCCCTCCCCACTGACCTGGTGACCTGAGTCCGGGTGTTGAAGTCCAGGGCACGCATGGATTGCAGGACCTCCACACAGCCCATGTACTGAGGGGAGGAACGGGAGGGTTACCAGTCAGCCGCCCCATCCCCTTCCCAAAGGGCCCTAGGATTTTTCTCTACAGGGTCCCTAAGGGCAGTAAAGATGAATACGTTCTGCCACAGCCCACGCCATGCAAGGCAACAGGGAATGAGCAGAGGGGAAGGGGCAAGCTGGGAGGACCGTACACCGCTGGGAAGGGAACTGGGAGGGATGGGCGCTGGGTGGGATGGAGTGACAGCTCTAGAAAAGGGGGAGGAGACTGGAGGGGACAATCAAGAGCCACTCATTCCCACACTTTCTAAGGGCCTCCCAGGGGCTGGGCATTGTGCTAGGCATGGCAGGGGGTGCGGGGGGGGGGGGGGGAGCCACCAGAAGGAAGGGGGACCCAGGCCGAGCTGGAAGGGCCGGCAGAATCAGAGAAGGAGCAAGACAAGGTTAGGAAAAAGGCCACTGAAACCAAGCGAGTGGCTGGGGAAGAGCAGGAAGAGAGAGATTCCGGCAAAGCTAGAGTGGGCAGAGGAGCTGGAGCGGCCTGGGAGGGAGGACGGTCACTCACCCGAACCAAGTAGGAAACCCCGGGTCCCATGACTTTGTCGTTAGGATGCAGCCAGCCCCGCGTGGGCTTATTGACAAAGCTCCCGTGGCGGGTCCACTCCTCGCCCCCCAGCTGGCCCCCTTCCACCCGAGTCCTGCGCCCGCCGCCTCCGCTCAGCTTGTTCATGTCCTGGAGGGGGGGCAGGGGGCCTGAGTCTGGCACGGCTGCCCCGGCGATGCCCTCCCCGTCCTCGGCCACCCTGCCTGGCTCCCCCCTGGGCCCCGGGCGCGCCCCCGCCGGGCTGGCCAGCTTCAGGTTGCTCATCCGGGGGAAGAAGGAGCACAGGGTGGTGGGACTGTCGTCCCCAGACTGAGGTGGCAGGATGGGCCCCAGGGAGGAGGCTGATGGGGACGGCAGCTCCTCCGGCGGGCTGGACCCTGACGCCCCCTCCTCCAGCGATGACAGAGACTCATTCCGGAGGGGGTTGTACTTGGGCTTGGGGGGCAGGAGATCCATGGCTGGAGTGAGAGGGAGGCTGCAGCCCAGCCCGGCCCCCCTGCCGGTCAGGGCAAGGGGGCCAGGCAGGGGGCATCCCCAGGCCCTTAGCCTGAGTGGCCCTTTATGGCCCAGGGATCTCAGGGGTCCTGGGAAGGAAGAGGGACAGTGGCTCCGATGCCTCTGGCTCCCCCAGTTCAGACACAAACAGTTTCAAGCCCCATCCCCGCCCAGCGTGGAGCCTCTTCTCTGGCTGAGAGAGGAGCAGGCTGGACCCAGAGCTGCCAGGCTCCTCCCCAAGGGCGGGGACTACGGGGAGAGGCCAATCCCGAAGACAGTGCTGACTCACAGGCTCGGAGGGGCTGGGCCCCCCACCACGGCCCCCCATCCAGAACTCGTGCAGAGGCAGAGCTACCCTCGCCCACCCCACCCCCACACAAACAACTAGTATCTGGGGAGAGTCAAGTGGGGGTGGGAGGGAAGGGCGAGAAGGAAAGGAGGGGAAGAGGAGGTCTGGCTCAGTCCCGACCGGACAAGGGCAGGCCAGAGGGAGCAGGAAGCGGAGGGAGGGTAGGGGGGGAATGAGGGAGGAAACAGAGGCAGCTGGGGTGGAAAGGGAGGCGATCCCAGAGCTCAGCGTTTCCCTTCCTGTTAGACTGAACACAAGCCCCCACCCCCACCCCCATCACACAGGGGGTGGTAGCCCCAGGGAGCGGGGCCATTAGCACCCTCCGCTAGACAGCTGTGAACAGGAGTAAAGAAACGGGGAGAGGAGCCCTAGCTGGGCGGCTGTGTTGGCTGGAGCGTCGTCCCAGTCAGGGCACAGACCCAGGCCAGGCACATACAGGAGACGGCCGGTCAATGTTCCTAACATCGATGTTTCTCTCTCCCTCCCTTCTTCTCTAAAATCAATAAAAATTTGATGAAATGGGGAAAGGAGCCCGCTGGGTCGCTGAGTTGGTTAGCGCATCGTCCCAATACACCAAGGTTTTGGTCAGGACATACAAGCAGCAACCAATGAATGCATAAATAGTGGAACAAAAAAACACGATGTTCTCTCTCTCTCTCTCTCTCTCTCTCTCTCTCTGCCCCCCTCCTTCCCTCCCTTTCTCTCTCTAAATCAATAAATTTTAGAAAAAGAAAAAAGAAATGGGGAAAGGAAGAAGGTGGTCCCAGAGGATAGGGAGAAGGGCCAGGAGGAAGGGCAATGCTGGTGAGGCACCGGGAGAGGAGCTGGAGCCGAGGGCGGGCTGGTGGCACCGACGATGCCAGGAACAGTCGCCCACAGGCAAGCACTGTCCTGCCCCCTTTCCACAGGCCTGGTTAGCAAAGCCAGCTGTCCAGGGTAGAAGGGGGGCAGGGCACTGGCTCCAAGGTCAGCTCCCCCTCCGTTTGCGGGGATGACCGGTGAGGGCCCATGCGTCCACCAGGGGACACAGTTCCTCTCATACCCAGGGCACAGTCTGGGTGGAGGAGGTGGGAGCGTCAATCGGAGGCCATGAAGGGACAGGGGGGCAGAAGACAAACTATGCCAAGTACAGGAGAAAAGAGGGCCAAGAAGAGACGGGCCGAGGCTGCACACGGGGAACCCATCCCAACCCACTCTTCCCCCCCACAGCTTCCTGCCACAGCGCTGCGTGAGGGGGCCACAGAGGAAGTTGGAAAGCGACCCAAGAGGAAGCAGTAAAATCCATATACCCCCCGAGCTCACCTCGGAATTACCTATCCTTAAATTACTTCGGCAGATAACCAGGGGACGTGCTAAGCTCGGTCACCTCCCCCGCCCTCAGCAGAGGAGAGCTGGCATGGCCTCCCCCACTCGGGAGAAGGGATTCTCTCCGTCTGCTTCCCGAGGCTCAGCGCCCGGGCGTCCAGAGCACGAGGAAAGGGTTCTGCCACCACCTCACACACGCAAACACACACCGGGGTGTCTTCATCTTTAGAGACGGGCATCCTGCAGAAGCCTGCGGCACCCACAGGCCGCGAGAGACCGACAGGTGTGGGCATTTGGGGGCAAAGTAAGAGGAGGGGGGGCTCCTTCTGCACAGAAAGCAAGGAGACTGTCCACGGGCGGGCGGGCGGGCGACTGGGTGTGGGGAGAAGCGGCATGCGCCTGCCCAGCCCAGCAGGGAGGAGGAGGAGGAGGCAAGAGCGGGAAGTAGCAGGAAATGTGGAAAGCCTCAGGAATGTTTCCAGAAAGGAAGGCTGGGCAAGCGGGACCAGAAGGAATGCCCAGGCAAGAACTCTGGTTAGGGGGAGGGTCAGAGCCAGAGCAGTGGTGGAGGCTGAGCAGAACCCCTAAAAAAAAAAAATTAAACAGCAAAAAGGTCACTGCCCCCTACACCCCCCGGCCCCACACCGTTTTCTGATGGTGGAAAACTTTCGCTCCTGTCACAGTCAAATCAGTGCCTACCCAAACCCCCGGGAACAGGTATGAGACAGAACAGCTGGTCCTGGGATGGGTGGGTCCTGGGGAGGGGAGCTCAGGGAGTGGGGCAGAAGTCTGAGCAAGCCTCCCTCCCCCGCTCCTGCCAAACCCCAAGCCCAGCCCCCCTCGGGGAGCCACCCTTGGAAGGGGGTTCAGGAAAGGAAAAGGGCTGTCTCTACGATCACTCCTCAGACCCAGAGGTGGAAACTCTGCTTCCCACCTGGTGGGTGGAGCATGCAGGAAAACTGAGCCCAAAGCCCGAGAGAGAAAGGAAACAGGGAAACGTGAGCAGATGGAGTTTGTGGGGTTGAAGGCAAAGCTTCTGAGGTGAAGACCTGGGTTCCACAAGGATAAATCTCCCGAGGGAGGGCAGTCCTACGGCCCGTGCTTTGGAGACTTCTAGGAGGCCAGGCTCTGGGCGATCCGACGTGGACTAAGGAAGGGGCGGGGCTCCTAGAAGGGCCGAGCCTCTAGGAAGGCGTGGTTCCGCCAATTCGCAGTCTGTGGTGCTTTGGGCAGGGTTCTGCCCTTTCGGGAGAGAGGCTTTTTGGTGGGCAGCTGTGAGCCGGCAGAGAACCGTCGCGCTGAGGCGGAGTTTCGGGGAATCGGAAGGACTAACGTGGAGTTTCGTGGAGTGGGGCTGTAAAGCACGTCTAGGGTGGGACTTCCAGGAAAGCTGGGCGACAGGGTGGGGTCGGGGACAATAAGTAGAAAACCAGACAGGGTTCAGGGATAAAAAGCCCCCCGAGGCTGGGAGGTGGGACTTCCGGGGAGGGGGTCTTAGGGGGCGGGGCTTATGAATGAAGACCGGAAGTAGGGTCCCGGGAGAGGGGTTCCGGGGTGGAGGAGTGGGTCACCTAAGGAGGAAAAAAAGTCCCCACTTACCAGGGCCTCATGGAGTCTCCGCACCGCACCGCGGGATGATTTGGTTCTGGATCACGCCAGTGCCTCCTTAGGTCGCTGCTCCAACTTTCTCCCCGGGAAGGCCTCCCTGGAGAAACTTTATTGCACTCACTTCCGGCCTCGCTAACCCCTGACCCTCTACCCCACCGTCCCTCCTTCGCCCGTCCCACTTTCCGGGATCAGCCAATGGCAGTGCGGGAACGCTCCCAGAAGCCGTTCTAGCCAATAAGGGGCCTATTTTTTACCTAAGCTTGTCCTTGAGAAACGTAACAAGTGCGCTCCAATAAGGACTCGACGAGAAGCAAATGTAAGCCAATAGGAGGCTTGGAGATGGAGTTGTCCCGCCTTACGTCGAAGGGACCAATAGGAAGTGCAGGCGGCGTGTTTGAAAGTGAGGCCAAAGTGGGTGGGAGCGCGTGCTGCTGGGAGTTGTTTGGAGGTTGGCGGCGCGGGTCTGACGATCTCAGGCAGAGCGATCATGTCGCACAAACAAATTTACTATTCGGACAAATACGACGATGAGGAGTTCGAGTACCGGTTAGTGCCGGCGTGGGGGCCGTAACGAGGGGGTGAGCTTTGACAAGTGAGGGCACGAGGAGTTAGTAACTAGGACTGAAGAGACAGAATGGGCGCGTGCGCAGCAGGTTAACGGGACGGGGTGGGGGTGGTTGAGAGCGTAAAGCGCATGCGCGAAGGGTAGCGACGCGTGTAAAAGTAACAGCACGGAATTCCGTGTTAGCCTTCTTGGGGGGGTGGGGGGGTGTAGGTGGGCGTGGTGAGTGTTAGCCTGCAGACCACCTTCGCCCCTTGGGGTCCCTGGATCATTCTCAACCGCATTGAGCACGTTGAACTTGTCTCCCTAAGACTGCTTGTATCACGGCACCACCATAAAACACGGAACCCACTGGGAAACGGGGCAAAGGCGGAGCTCGAATTTCCCTCGCGTCTTCAATGCCAGGGGAGTTACCGAGCGAGTGTCCCTCATTAATTCATGAAAAAGGGGCGTGGTTGTCCGGCTTGGATTAGGAGGGGGCCTTCGAGGACCTGGGATGTAATAAAACTGGCCAGGAACATTGAGAAAAGGCTTAACATGGACCCAGTCGATACCCTTCAAGTATTTGAAGGGGATTCGTCTAGGAAACAATCATGGAGTGTTTATAGATTCTACTAAAGTACAAGGGTGAGCATGGTGTCTGCTTCTAGCAAACCTAAAATATGTGGGAATACAGACTTCAGGAAGAAGGTGGTGATTAGTGTGATATAGATACGTAGGGATTGTGATGGGAGCACATACGACTTGCCACGGACGGTGAGGAAAGGAACCCCTACAGAGTCTGCACTGGATAAACCCTAAATTCAGTTTCTAGAGTAGGAAATCGGAAGAGTTTCTACAAATGTTGGCATTCCACTAATTGTATTGAGTGTGATACTTAAAACACCTTCCTGGTGTGTACCTTGTCTTCTCAATTGAAGACCGTAAAATGGAAACTTGCTTGTGTTTCTTCTCCAGTCTAGCACGGGGCTCTGGACCCTCTGGCTGGAGAGTTCCGCCCGTGCTGACAAATAAATACATTAATCATCTTGATGCCAGGTCCGTGGGGATTTAAATGCATGAATCATCTTGATGCCAGGCCCGTGGAAAAAGGCCCAGGCCATGCTGGACCCAGTTAACTTCCTTCTCCTCAGCTGTTTCCTTCTACACCTGAACTGAGCTAACTGAAACTGTGTGCTGGTAACGCATGGCAGGGCCAGGGAGGACAGGTCGCCAGGCTCACCCTTGGAGGTGTAAGGCTTGGCAGTGGTATTTAGGGTTAAGAAAAGCTTGGGGGTTTTGGTTTGGGGTTTTGTTTTTTGTCTAATCAGTTACTGAAGCTAGTCTTTGTGCCAGGGGCTTGTTAGACTGTTAGCTATTTTCAGACATTTAGACTAGAACAGATTCTTTAGGGAAAAAATCTGTTACTAGTACATTTTCATTTAGCATGATAAAGTCTCTCTGGGTTAGCCCAATTCAAGTTAGAGGAGTAATTTCTTGGCCATGAAAAGAGACTTATCCTTGGTTAGGAAAGCATGAAGTTTCCCACAGGAAGTCTCATGGCACAACCCTTCAGAATTAGGAAAATGAAATGAAGGATAGACTTTAAAGGCTTCGGCATTGACATTATTTCATCCTTTGTGCTGGCTCTTCCACGTAGCACCACATATTAGGCCTTTCTTCACAAAAATTACTTCTCTTCCGTACCAATCCTGTTCAAAACCGCCTTCAATTGTTAATACCCTGTGTACTGTGGGGCCCCCATTGTATTATTTTAGAATCATCAACTAGAAGACTAAGCTCCAGGAAGGCAGAGGCAGTGTATCCACAGCGCCTGAAATTTAGGTGCCCGTTCACTTGAGTTATTAATTAGTACTTTTAAATATACTTTTGTGAGATTCACATAAGTTGGCCTTTATTTCCAGCTGCCTGTATCCCACAATAAGGTTAACTCCCTGCCATCAGAAACTGGTTTCTCTTTTCTTTTGTCTTCTTGGCTTTGTATGCAGGCACTTGCCTAACAGACTGGACCCAGTACTGACCAATTTCCTACCTTCCCATGTTTCTGTTACAGGCATGTCATGTTGCCCAAGGACATAGCCAAGCTGGTCCCTAAAACCCATTTGATGTCTGAATCTGAATGGAGGAATCTTGGTGTTCAGCAGAGTCAGGGATGGGTCCATTATATGATCCATGAACCAGGTCAGTGCAATGGCTGAAAGAACCATGTAGGGCTGTTTCACTGAGGAAATGATGGTCACATAACCCAACGAAATAAGGGGAAGGTGGGGGTGGTTCGCCGGTTTCTTACCCCACCCGTCATCTAGAAAAAATTGGACCAAAAATAGAGTGAAATATATGGGAAGTTCAGAGACCAGCTGTTACTGAAAAAACCGTTAGTGTCTAATTCACTCAGAGGGTCCTCTCTTTTTAAGGCCACATAATACTCTGGGAGAGATTATGGTTCCTCCTTCATTGTCCATCAGAAAGAATTCTTGGATGTGTTCCAAATAAGCCAGGGAAAGTATATTTCCTGATAAGACACCAGACACCAAGCTGTCAAGCAAAACTAATAAAGGACACCCTGGGGCTTCACAAACATAGCAAAAAAACCTGATAGTAACAAATCTAAACTTGGCAGACAGGCCAGGCTTATGGGTCTGCTTCTAAAGCCATATGCTTAAATAAATCTTAATTTAGTTTTCAAGGTCCGAGTGGGAGAAAGCTGGGAAATGGGAGTGGGGTACCCTGTAGATTGTGCATAGGATGGTGCTCGTTTGTCTCAGATTTCACTCACTCTTTCAGAACCTCACATCTTGCTGTTCCGGAGGCCGCTGCCCAAGAAGCCAAAGTAATGAAGCTGGCGAGCCGCTTTTCCGCCTCTAGCTTTACTCAGCTGTCCTCACTTGCTAACAGCTTTCTGATAACATGTTGCCTTCTTGTTTCTCACTTTGCTATTTAAAGGATGTTTAAAATACACTGTTTGAAATGTGCTGGTGACTGCTTTGCTTCTTAAGCAGGGCAGAGCCACAGCAGCACTGCCGGCGAGGAGTGCTCTGTGGACTGCAGCCTCAGCGGTGTGACCCCTGAAGCCATGATGAGTTCTATGTCCAGCAGAACACACGTGGCGGATGGAGGAAGCATCTGAGAATGAGACCGTGGCTGTAACAGGGATTGTGTGAATTTGCTGTTTTGTTTTGTTTTCCTGCCAGGTGTATGTATGGGGATTTGTGTTTCAATGTATTGGAAACTTTCCATTTTATTCAAGAACTCTATTTCATGTTAAAAGCCTTGATTAAAGAGGAATTTTTTTAATAATCTAATTCTCTGCTTGTAAAGGTTTTTCCCCTCTCGGGGTGAGCATCACATTCAGTATATGGTTCTAATTATACGCCCTTCACTTAGATAATGAAGCTCAGCTTTGCTGATAATGAGGTTTATTTCAACAGTCAGGTAACTGGTCTTTAATCTTAGAAGCTGACATGCTGTCAAACATGGCTGATATATATTTTGATCTAACTACTGGCCAAAGGTAGAGGTTATATAGGGATAACATCATCTCATCAAAACAAGTGAACTGTTTCCCACAGTCAGGGATGCGGCCTTTAATATAGTCCCAGTATTTGAGGGGCACACGAGGGTAATAAGGAGGGAGGCCATCAGCCAGGGGCTGGTAGTGTGCTCTGCTCCTGCCTGGCCTAAGGCTCCGGCCACCTATGGCCTCTTCACTGCACATTGGTTGGGAGTTTTCAGTAGTTCTCACTTTGGCTGAGCATTGGGATCCTTGGAGTAGCTAAAAAGTACTGATTTGTAAGTCATTCCTAAAGGTGTTGACTGAATTGACTGGGAGTGTGGCCTGGATGTGGGGATCTCAAGCATTCCTATGCAGGTAGATACAGCACTAACTTTTGAGAAAACAGGAAACTAGCTGTTGAAGAAAACACTTCACTAAATCATAGCTTACCCTCTACTTTTAAAAATAACAGTAGTGCTAAGTAAGGGAGATTAATCTACCACCTTTCCCTGTCTTCCATCCGTTTGTTCCAAGAGCAGTACAAGTGTAGTTCCTGGACCGGAAGCATCAACATCATCTAGAAACTCATTAGAAATGTATATTCTTGGGCTCCACCCTAGACTAACTGAATCAGAGACAACGTGGTTGGACCCAGCGACATTTTAACAAGCTTTCCAGGTGATTCTGGTGCATGCTTAGCTTGAGAAGCCACTGATAAAGGATTGGACCAGAGCTGATGTTTGAATGGGTGTGTGTGTTTTGTTTTGGTTTTTTTTGGGGGGGAGGGAGTTTACCTCCAAAATATCACCTTTATTAATCATCAGGATAATAAAGCACGTGGCTTATGTCATTAGGCAAGTAGGGCTTTATTTTTTTAGAGCTTGAGAAAGAATGGCTAGAAGCTTGGTTCTACCATTCACTTTATTTTGTGTGGCATCCCTTCACCTTTCTGAGCCTGTTGCCCATCTGTAATGCAGACATATCTATCTTAAAGGGTTTTTAGGAGTCATATGAGGCCGACCAGGTGTGGTTCAGCAGTCTTCCAAATGATGAATGGATTCTAAACCTTTACTACAAAAAAAAAAAAAAAAAGTCCACAGACCAGTAGCATCATCATGACTGAGAACTTGTTAAATACAGATCTCAGGCCCCACCCAAGATCCCCAGACGAATAGTAAGAACATTAAGGTTTGATGGGCACTTTTAAACCACAGGCAATTGAATGAGAGTAAGGAGAGTAGTACAAAGTGGGCACGTGGCACTCCCTAGTCGCTGCCATCACTTGCACTTGCAAAGCAGTAACAGGTGATGGATGCTTAAACTAAGCACAGGCGGAGCAAGGTGGGGCAAAGCTCTGTCCTGTCAATGAGGCTTAAATAATTAGCTTTACTGTTCATATCAGAGACAAATGAAAGTCCACACGCTCAAAGCTCACCTCCAAGATCTCCCTACCTCACAGGCAATGCTATTGGTGTCCCTCCATCTGCTATAATAAATCCCTTCAGACACCAGTAGCAACTCCTGACCCCTTGGCCAATAACAGGGTTATGGCTAATGAAAACAGCCGTGCACGCGAGAATCTGAATACAAAACAGAGGTTAAAGTCAAGCCTCCCTTTATTTCTAACAGCAGAAAGCACCCCAAAATCCTTAGAGCGTCTCCCACCACCGCTCCTTTCGCGCCCCAGCCCTCCTGCCAGGACCCTCCTCCTCCTCCGCACCACCAACCCCTGAGCCCGGCCTCCACATTTCCGGGCAAAGGGCGACCACGTGGTTGTCGCTAATGACAACCCGGCACTGCTCCCGCCCGCTGGCTAAGGCTCGCGAGTGACAGTCGACTTCACCAATGAGCACGTGAAGGTAGTCTGAGCGACAGCCCAAATGACCAATGAATATGCGGTAAGTGTGGCTCTGAGGTGGGACTGTGAGTACGGAAGCTGTCCTGGGACAAGAGGAAAGGAGAGAGGGAAAGACCTGGTGAAGGGGCTGGAGCAGGTGAGAACCTGAGAGAACTCAGTTGTCAGGAGAGTGGTGGGAAGAGGTGGGATTCGGGCTAGAAAGGGTGCGGAAGCCTGCAGAAGAAGGCGGCTGAGTTCTGGTGTGGGTGGAGGAAGGGAACGTATTTAAAGGGCCCAAGTCCCAGGAGCAGGTAGACATTTAAAGGGACAGGTGCCCCAAAGAGAAGAGACATTTAAAGGTGTAGTTGCCCAAGATAGAGCAGACCCGAGGAGCCGAGCTCGGCGGACACTAGACCTTTTAAAGTGGTAGCTGGAGCAGGACATTTTAAGACTAGAGCCAAGCTTAGAGAACACTTAACAGAGGCATGGGCTGGATTTTGAGAACATGTTTACTAAAGAGGCAGGGATAAAGGCGTCAGTGTCAAGGGCCTGGTGAGGAAGACCATGCCCTCCTGCTCTCCCCCATTTTCCTTTCTGGCTCCTCCAGGTTGCCTCGACCCCGGACCCCCTGTTCCCAGGCTATGGCCCCCAGTGCCCTTTAGATCTGGCGGGACTCCCGTGCTTGCGCCCCCTATTTGGGGTTCTGGGTGGCTACCGGAGGGCCTTGCAGAGGGGCAGAGAAGGCAGGACCATGGCATCTAGGGCCTCTGCCCCTCCCCCAGGGCGCAGCGTGACGGCGGGCATCATCATTGTTGGAGATGAGATCCTCAAGGTGTGTCTGGGACAGAAGAGGGGGGAGGGCGGGGCGTTCTCCTGCCCTTAAGAGTCTGCTCCACATTGTGTTGAAGGAGGGTGAACCAGGGTGGGGGTCCCCTTGCTGCCCTAGGATTCTGGAGTGAGTCCAGAGTGGTGGAGGAAAAGTGACCCTCATTCTGTTATTCCGTTGAAAAGCTTACAGCAAAGTTTCTACAGTTTGCCAGGCAGGATGGTATGGGGATGAGGGGCTTTACAGAAATGACGGAGTCAGCATGCGAAGGAGGTATAGGTGCGTGTATTACTTAAAAGTTAAATCCAACCTAATTGAGGAATGATCCAAGGCACGCAGCAGCGTGGGTGGGATAGAAGGAAAGTACCAGAAGAGAGAGATCCCTTCTGAATAATCAGGGAAGTCATGGTAGGCATCAGGTTTGTAATAGTAATAGTGATCCCTATTTTTTTAATGCTTACTAGGACCTGGCGGTGAGCTTATTACATCATATATGTGATTTTACTAATCCTCACAACAACCCCATGACATTGGTACTTTTGTGTGTGTGTGTGTGTGTGTGTGTGTGTGTGTGTGTGTGTGTGTGTGTGTATTATTGATATCAGAGAGAAAGGGAGAGAGAGATAGAAGCATCAATGATGAGAGAGAATCACCGACTGGCTGCCTCCTGCAAGCCCCCTATTGGGGATCAAGCCCACAACCTGGGCATGTGCCCTTGACCAGAATTGAACCTGGGACCTTTCAGTTCACAGACCGATGCTCTATCCACTGAGATAAACCGGCTATGGCTAAGTCTTTTATATATTTTTGTTGTTGTTGTTGATATCAGGAAGCGAGAGAGAGATAGAAACATCAATGAGAGAGAATCACCGACCAGCTGCCTCCTGCATACCCTCTATGGGGACTGAGCCCGCAACCCGGGCATGTGCCCTTGACCAGAATCAAACCCAGGACCCCTGAGTCCACACGCCAATGCTCTGTCCACTAAGCCAAACCAGCCAGGGCTATAAGTCTTAATTAATATATTATGAGACTAATAATGAGACTTAATTAATATATTATGAGACTAAGGCTCAGAGAGGTTGAGAAACTTGCCCAAAGTAACACAGCTAGGAAGTGCTAGATGGACTTGATTCTCACTCCAGAGCAACCACTTAACCACTAACCTCTGTAGAACAATAGTGGAGATGAGGCTGGGCAAGAAGATTGTATACATACCATAGACAGCCTCAAATATCCTGCAAAAGAATTTGAACTTTATTCTGTATATGGTTGGAAACAACAAATGGCTTTTGAGTCCAAGAGTGATGCAATCACAGTAACACATTAGGAAGGGTATTCAGGAGGCACCAGGCAGAGCACTGCGGCTGGAGCTGGGAGCCTGGCCAGGAGGCTGTTGCAACTATTCAGGTGAAAGGTGCCAAAGACCTGCTTGGTGGCAGTTGGGACAGAGAGAAGAGAGCAGATGGGGACGTATTTCAGAAGTGGAGCTGACAGCATAAAGGGCCTGACTGGCTGTGGACAGTGTCTGGGGATGCCATTAACAGCCAGGGCTAGGCTGAAGATGCCCAATCAGCATTTGACGCCAGGGGACTGAGACTGTCCGGGGTGGTGAGGAAGCAGAGAAGTATGGGATTGATCACTGAATTCATCAACCTAGATGAGGTCAAATCAAGGTCGCAGTGCAGAGAAGGAGGCCCGAGGTATATCACATCATCCCTGACTCCATTCACATGGAGCAGGGGTCCTCAAACTACGGCCCGCGGGCCACATGCAAATGCAAATATTGTATTTGTTCCCGTTTTGTTTTTTTACTTCAAAATAAGATAAGTGCAGTGTGCATAGGAATTTGTTCATAGTTTTTTTTTAAACTGTAGTCCGGCCCTCCAGCGGTCTGAGCGACAGTGAACTGGCCCCCCGTTTAAAAAGTTTGAGGACCCCTGACATGGATCGTCTCGCTCTGGTGCTCAGTCCAGAATTCTTGGCAGCCTGAGGTGGCATCCCCCGGAGAGCGGAGTGCCCCACCATCACGCAGATGCGCTTTCATCCCTGCCCCCTTGGCCCTTCCTCCCGCAGCACTGACGCCCATCTTCCCCGTCTCCAATCTCGCAGGGACACACTCAGGACACCAACACCTACTTCCTGT